CACTGCCTGATGCACGGGCTCTGGTGGGGAGTTTCTTGGTTCAAAGCAGCTTTTGTGCTTCCGACACAGGCATCCCCTCGATTCCCTCGGTAATGCCAGTGGGAAACTTGGCTTTCCAGAAGCCGGGCACAAGGAAATGCATCCTGAGGAAGGGTCTGATGTGATAAGAGGAACGCAGCCTGCCCCGACTGGGGGCACTTGAATGACCACGCTCGGCGTTTAAACTACAGTCTTTTCTGTGCGGACAGCGTTGTCGTATTGCTTCTCGCCCCCTCCTCTTTAAGGAGCAGATTAACTCCCCTGTTAATGTTAACATCTGGATGTCTTGTCGAGCCAGGGAGAGGAAATTGGGGGGGTACAGCGGCACAGAGGGGTCTGGAAGATCAGCGGGCACCTGAAACAGAAGGCATGGAGCCAGGTCCTGTTGCCGAGTGACCGCAGAGTCACACCTGCTCCAGACCATCCCAGGCTGCCCCAGAAACTGCTCAAGCACCCTGTGTGCAAATGTGTCTCCCCAGTGTTAAATCGGGGTCCATGTAAAGTCACCACTCAGTGGCGACTTGAATACTTCTGCTTGATTTCTCGTAAGCTCTTTCTGAAGGTGCTTCCTCGGATCTAAATCAGGGCTGCGACTTTTTTTGGGGGGAAGGAATAGCTTGAGAATATCTGACATACACCTATCTGTCCCCCCAGCCACTCCCCACTAATCCATTCACCTGTCTTCCTGGCCGCCCATCCATTCTCCTCCCCCACCCCCACTCACTCACTCACTCACCTCATTCATCTGCTCAGCAACCCTCAAATCCAACCACTCTCCCACCTACCTGTCCTTTTATCCATCCATTCATCCACCCATCCATCCATCCATCTATCCACCTATCCATCTGCCCATCTATCCATCCACTCGTCCATCTGCCCTTCCTTCCTTCCTTCCCTTCTTCCTTTCTCCATTTTTTCGTTCCTTCCTCCCTTTCTTCATTCCTTCCTTCCATCTGTGCATTATCCATCTGTCTATTTGTCCATCCATCCATCCATCCATCCACCCACCCATCCACCAATCCACCCATCCATCCATCCGTCCATCTCTAGTGTCAGGCTCTGTGCTAGGTGAAAAGTGGACCCTGGCTGAGAGAGTGGTCAAGTCTTCCCACGTGAGATGGAACTTGAATTGAGCCTTGAAGGGTGAATAAAGCCTTGGGTGAATGGGGTGGGTCAGGGACTGAAGAAGGGAAGAGCACGTGCAAAGGCTGGAGGTAGAGCGGTCGTGGGGGTGGGGCAGTGGGGACAGCGGAGTAGGAGGCCGGAGGGTTGCCGAGGCGCCTCCCACCCATGCTCTCCTGCTGCCTCTCAGGGCCACCCCAGCAGCCAGGGTGGGGCCCTCACGTTGTCCTCTCCCACTCTGTCTGCCCTGGATGTAGCCTGTCTTTGTTCGGCTGTGGCAGGAATTAATTGGATTTGCAGCTTCATTCTTGGGGATTTGTGGCCCCGAATAGGGATGTCAGAATAAAGGTAAGGATCTTGTGGGCGGCGGTGTCATTCTTCTGACTTAAACATTCCTGTTTTACCTCCACTGGCCGGAACAGGTGAAGGAGCAAACCAGGACACTGACAGGGACACAGAAGTTAAGACAGTCACACACAAGATTGATTTGTTTTTTAAAAAGAGACAAAACGTTTTGAAATTAACTCCTGTTGGTGAGCACTGACTTTCTGTCTGTCTGGACGGAAACAAGATACCGAAATATTCTGGATAAGGAGGCATCAGAAGTCCTCTTGGCTGGTAGAAGATAGCCTGGGTGAGGATGAGGATGAGAACACATTACAAGTAGCAGCTACCATTTGGGGTCCCCGCGACGTGCAGACTAGCCTGCCATCTCACAGCTACTCTTTACAACAGTCCGGCAAGGGGTTCCTATTATCTCCACGTTTCGGGGAGAGAGCTGAGACTCAGAAGTTAAGTAGCTTGTGCAGGTCACACAGCGGGCAGTGGACCTCGGGTTCAGCCCTGCTGCCCTTACTTTGACGCCTTCCCTTTCCTTCTCTGCCTCTGCCTCACCTCACTGGCGGAGCAGGTGCTTGACGGGGACAGTGCTGTGTTAAGAAAGACCATACTGGGCTTCAAGGATAGGAGTGCTGCTGTCGATTAGTGATGTCTGCCTGGGCACATGAAGAGTGAGAGGTGGCACCCATGCCATGGATTTGCTGACCCTGAGCTGGAAAACCGAAGGCTCCAGCTCATAAAGCAGAACATAGATGCCCCCTCATTTGTTAGAAAGTCTTAAATGGAGCTCATGAAATAAAATTACTTTGGTCTTAAGTGTAGCCCCAGCACGGTGACCTGTTTTCAGCATATCGATTGTATTTTTTTACCTGGCTGTGGAAGTAACGCCATTCATCATCGACTACATGGGAAAAGCAGAAATGGCCGATGAAGGGGTTGGGGAGGAGAGGGCCAGGAGTGAGCGAGGGTGGATGGCGTGGGGGCGAGGCGTGGGGGCGCCTGTCCTGGCAGGGGGTCTCATGCTGAAGGAGAGGAGACACTATCTCTGGGCCCACAGCCTCGCCTCAGCCTGGCTGGGACTTCAGGCACTTGGAGTCAGTTAAGGAACCAGAGCTGGGTTCCCAGCTCTCTCCCGTCAACCACACGGGGTCAGCTTCCAGCTCTGCTGTATCAAGGGAGCGATTTCCTGGCTGTGAGGGCTGCTGGGTCAGGGAGGGGCCCTCCCCTGCTGATGGCTGAGGTGCGTGATGACCTGAGGTTTCACCACTCTGCTCCCTTCTCACCACATGATGCCCGGTGGAGATGCGGTTGTCATGGTGATGGGAGAAAGGAGGGGAGGCCTGCAGGTAGGAGAGGGAGCCCACCCGCAGATGAGTCAAGCTGGGCCAAGGCCACACTGCCCCCTTGGACACAGGCTACTGCCACAAAGCCACTGGGGGGTAGAGACCACTGTTCTGGTGCGTCTGCCTGGAGACCTCAGACCCAGCATCACAGCAGGTCTGTGACAGCTGGGCAGTACCCAGGCGTCCAGCTCCGGGCTCAGTTTCCCACACCCCAGGCCTCCATCCCATGGAGTGCAGGCCCTGAGCTTTGGTGTTGGGAGCAGGTGCCCACACAGCCCCCATCCTCCAGTTGCCCTGCTGAGCAAATGTCAGCCTGAGCCCTGAGCGAGGAAGCCCCAGCCGGGGTCTCCCTGCAAGATCCTTAGTAGCAGGCTTCCTGCCAGAACACACATCCCTGGGCTGCAGGGAGCTGCTTGGTTTAATTAGAGGGCATTTTCATCCCCGCCCAGAGGTGGGTTGATTTGGGCCTATTGCTTTGAATGAGCCTCCCCCACCTCACGGCATTTCATCTGCTCTCCTGCCCCGTCCTCCTTCCTGGAGGAGGGGTGAGGCCATCCGGGTACCTGGCATGGCGGTTCAACCCGACTGTGGGCTGTGCTCTGTGTCTGCAGGTCCCCGCGTGAGCAGTTGGAGTGGCGAGTGTGCAGAGGACTCCCGGGGAGCTCTGGGGAGGGGTCGGGGCTGATTTGGTTGAGAGGTTGCTGTGTGGGCTCCCTGTGCTGGTGGTGGGCACGGAGAACCAGAGGCGGGCATGGTGCCCACCGAACCTACCCCCAGCCCCCGCTAGTTCCTCTCCTATCGCCCCTTTGACCCGAGTGCGCTGTCTCCTCTGAAGGCCCACCCCCTTCCTTGTCTGTGAACAGAGATCTCCTTAGAGCAGTCCCCAGATGGCACTGAGGGGTGACAGGCCAAGGGCTCACCCCTGCCCAGCGAGCGCATGCTGGGTGTAGGCACATGCCCGTGCCGAGCCTGCGTTCTCTCCTTTGACCTTGGCCGTACTCAGGCTCCACGTTCCCTCCATCTCGCAGATGTGCAAACGCAGGCTCCCAGGAAGAGCAGGGCCAGGATTTGAACCTGGTCTGTGCACCCGGCTAGCCGCCACTCAGCTCCTGTACCTGCCGGCCCCCACACCTGGGCACTGTGGGCGGGGCCTGCCCGTTTTTCAGGAGCCGGGCCCAGCCTCATTCTGCAGTAGAGGAGGGTGGGGCCCGAGCCCCCTGCATTCTGCCAGTGAGAACCCCCTTTCCTCCCATCCCCGCCATGAGTTCTAAGCTGCCTGGGCGGACATCTGTGTCCTGAGGACCATAGCTGGCGTGCCCCCTCTCACACCAACGGGGAAGCTTTCTGTCTCCTTCTCACTCCTCCCAGATGCGTCCTGGGATGACAGAGTTGGTGGGGACGCCGGCTTGTCCCCCGTGGCTCCTGCTTCCAGGAGGGGAGGCAGGTCCTTGCAGGAAGGCAGCCTGTGACAGAAGGTCCGAAAGCTTCCAGGACATGCCCTGACCCCAAGCCAGGCCCCAGTGGGCGAGTGAGTGGGAGGGGTGGCAGAGCGCCGTCCTCCCCACAGGCACTGGCTGGTGGTGGGCAGCCGCCCCGTCAGAGCACGCTCTGCCATTGTCTGCTGTCCCCGAGTGGCCCGGCAGGAGGCCTTGGAGGATACCTGGTGCCCCAGAAGCTCCCCCGTCTCCCCCACCCCCAGACTCCCTCCCGGGTCCTTCCCCACAGGCGGATGAGCCGGCAGCTGTCCCGCGTGGTGCTGCACCACGAGGGTGTCCGGGGGAGCCCCTGGCGTGTGGAGGCAGGACTGTCACACGGGAGGAAGCGTCCTGCCACCCCTGACCCAGTCCCCTCGTTTGCCAACAGGGACACTGGGGCCCAGAGAGAGGGAGTGACTACCCGCATCCCAGTGCCCCGCGGGGCGTGGCTCCCCTTACTCTCAGCTCCTCTGCCTGGCTGCCTCGGTGACAACATCGGTGTCACGCAGACCCTGTTTCCTTCCATGAGAGAGCGGGCAGAAGCCGCTTTGCTCCCTCCCAGCGGAGCCATGCAGGGCTCTCATTCCAGGGGCGTTCATGGTGGGTGACAGGCTGGGGGCCCGACTGGGGCTGGTGGGGCCGCTGAGACCTGCTCGCCTCACTCTGCTCTCCTCTCCCGCAGGCCTTTTCCTTCGGAGGAGACGGCAGAAAACGATGACGACGTCTACCGCAGCCTGGAGGAGCTGGCTGAGTAAGGAATGGGGGGGGGGCATGGCGGCCCGTGGGGGCGGAGCCGGCCTCCTGATTGGCTGTGCGCGCGTTCCCTCACACCAGAGTGGGAACAGGTGCTTCTGCCAACACAGGAGCATGTGCACGGCACACCTCCCTCTGCATTCTAGAAGCCTCCCCAGGATGCCTGGTGTTGACATGGGCGTGGCCTTCCTCCCAAAGACACACAGAGGGGGCTCTTTTCTGCGCAGCTGCGGGAGGAGCTGGGGTGGGGTGGGCAGTGCTGGGGAGGCGCTTGGCTGCTGTGTTGAGGATGGGGGAGCAGGTGTTTCCAGAGCAGGGGCCCCAGCGCACAGGCCGCAGCAGACGCAGCATGTGGGCTCAGGGTCATCTGTGGTCTGCCGGGGCAGGCACGGGCCTGGGCTGAGACAGGCCGCCCGAAGCCACAGGGGTCATCGCCTTTCTCTGGGTGGCCCCGTCTTTCCACTGCTTTGTGTCTGCTTCCGTCCGCTCTCTGAGGAGTTCCTTGTGGTATCTGCACACAGCCCAGGCCTGGTCCTCCCTCCTGGCTAGTTCATTTTCCAGTCCTGGGGCCCCACAGGGACCGATGAGAACCCTGGATGGGTTCTGAACCCTGAAGAGATCATCTGGCTCTGCAGGGCCGGCTGTGGCCAGCGGTGGGTCAGGAGCCTGCTGCTCAGGGCAGGGGCTGGGCAGCTTCCCTGAGAAGGGGGGCAGTGGGTGGAGGAGGCAGGGGTGCTCCGTCCTGCAGGAGGGGAGACTGAGGCCCAGAAGTGACTGGCTTGCCCAGGCCCTGGGGTGCTCCCCGGTGGCTCCTGACCCTCAGGCCCGGGGGAGAACCCTATTCCCGCTTCCTGCTGATGGAACCTCACTCCTGTTTGACGGCAGACTTTTCTTCATTCTGGAGAAAGGGCTGTCTGTCCTGGGAAGGCTCTCAGCATCTTCTTTCTCTGCAGCCGGTAGCACAGAGCTGGCAGTTACTGCCGCCTTCTGTGCGGCGGCTCCGCGCTTTGCTCACACTCACATCCATGCTGCCTCTAGGGTGTGGGGCCTGGGCAAATATTGTTTGCAGGATCCTTGTCTATTTCAACAATCTGAGGCATCCAAAAATCAGCATGTCGGCACCATGCTGATCTCATGTGATTCTGTGAATGAAACACCAGTGGGAGTCGCTGCCACTGCCCGTCCTCTCAAGATGAGGCTGCCCCAGGGCCCTGTGGTGACCCTGTATGGGTTAAAGGGTTCGAGAGCACCCCAAAGGGGAGAAATGGGGCCTGAGGGCCACACAGGTCACAGCTAAGGATTGGAGCGGCCCTCCCGGACTCGCTGCTTGCTCTGACAGTCCCAGGAGTCAAGAGGGCCTCAGAAAGGCACACTCCACACGAGGGGCCTTTTGCGGCATGGGGCTTAATGAGGGGCTGCTCACCGACCCTGTAGGGGTGAGAAAACCGAGGCTCAGAGAGGCACAGCAGGAGGGAGGTCCCCTGGGGATGAAGACCCCCCCCAGTCCTCCACCCCTGGCCCTGTCGGCAGCCCCCTCGCTTGCTGAGCTCAGGGTTGAACCGCCTCCCGCACCCCTTCCCGGTGTTTTCCACCCTTCTCATCTGCCGAGTCCGGGCCTGAGCATCGCCCCATCTGGGAAACCCCTCATACTCCACCCGCCCAGCCAGCATCACTACTCCCATCCCCTTGCAGAGCACCCACACCCCTGTTGGGCTGTCCTTGGGGTGCACCATGATTAGGTGGTTAAATACCTGTCTTCTGCAGACTGGAAGGTTCCCAAGATCAGACCCTGTATCTCGGTCTGTGCGACCCCCTCAGCCCTGGTAGCACAGGCCCTGTGCCCAGGCAATGGTGACAGTGGTGATGGGTGGCACCCACTGAGCCTTTAGGGGCTGGGCACTGCTGGGACTTCTTCTCCTTATATCCCCTACCCTTAGTCCCCCCTCCCCACATACAATCGCTCTGTGAGGTCTGTTGTGCAGGTAACCCCTTTACCCATTTTACAGACAGGTAAACTGAGGCCTAGAAAGGGGAAGCTACTGGCCCGTGTCACTCAGCTAGTTAGTGGCAGAGCTACAATTTGACCCAAGTCTGTGCTCTAACCTCCCCACCATGCAAAGTTGGTGTCCCCCAAGCCTGGGGGAGCCCCCTGTCCAATGCTGAGGGTGAGGCCCATCATGATCTGCCATTTTCCCCCAGTCATCAGCCTGAGGTTGGGGGTCTGTGCCCTCCAGAAACCTCCCCCCGTGGTCAGCACAGACTGAGGGCTCCTCGTGCAGTCGGGACCTGGCATGGCATACTTCCTCAGTACCAGCCAGGGACTCGCCCCTCCGCTGCCACTGCCGGACTGCCTGCCTGTCCCTGATGGCTGGTGGTGCATGGCCAGTTCTGAGGGTTTCTGTGGGGTGAGTCAGGCAGCAGTGACCGAGGGCACCCACTTCTCCTTTCTCTCCCCTTCCGGTTCTGACAGCTCTAGAACCAAAACATAGGATGTAATTCCTTTTGGACGGTGAAGCCCGTCCAGGGGATGAACTGAACTTCGCACAGTTCAGTGTTATTCAGTGACATTAAGAAAGAGCCTTTTAATCCAATGAGTTCCTTAACGACTGCCGTTATTGCAAACGTAAGTCATAAATTCTAGGAACCAGGAGGAATTTGAGTCTTTAACTTGCGGTTTGGTCCCAGTGGCTCCAGTTTAATAAGTTTTTCATGCTTTTTGTTCCCACTTCTCCTTTCACTGAAAAGCGAGATTTCCTAGCCTCCCATCCCCGTGGACCTGGCGCTGATATTATCCATTATGGCAGTTTACAAGATAAACAGAAGTGCCACTTTTCACCTGGCGGCTGCTGGGGGCGGCCGTGTGGCTGTGCGCCATCGAGGCTGGAGCTGGGGCAGTGGCCTAGAGCTGACCCAGGAGCGGGCGCCCCGCGAGGGCGCGACACTGAGCATAGCCACCTGTTGTTCCCTTCGGGCTCGTGGCAGGTGGCAGGAGTGATGGGCACCCTGTGTGTCTGAAGGGTCCCCGCCCAGCCGCCCAGACCTCAGTGCTCCGCAGCTGTTTGGGGCAAGTCAGACACGGGCTCCGCGTGTAGCAGCCTCCCCCGGGCCTGGGTGGCTCCTGGGGCGCCCGTGAGGGACCGCCATGTGCGAGTGGCCGATGTCTGTCTACTCGAGCGGTGGGGGTGGGGTCAGGCGGTGTGTTGGGGGTTGCAGGAAGGGCAAGTGCTGGAGGAGAGGTGTGGGTGCTCCATGGGGGACCCTCCCAGAATACCCCTTAGAAAGGCCACCCAGGGCCTTCACAGCTCCAGTGTCACCCCAGCCCAGCAGGTTATTGAGGCAAGGGCCACACAGCCTCAGCCCACAAGACGGAGCTCCACGGTGCACACCGCCTACTGCCCACTTAGATCAGGCGTGCCAGGCTGCGCAGCAGTCTCTCTGTCCTGCTCCCGCCAAGCCCTGTTCCCAAAGCCACCAAGATTGTCTTCTCAAACCGGCCCGGGAGCCCCGGCTCTGTCGTGTCCTACTCGTGTGGCCTCTGGCAAGTTTCCCACCTTTCTGTGCCTCGGTTTCCCTCTGTGCAACATGCAGTATCTCTGTCTGCTTCCGTAACTGTTGGGAAGATTTCAGCGGCATTGTGGGTAGTACAAAGCCCCGTGAGCCCTAAGGCATGGGCGGCGGTTCCCGTCCGTCCGTCCGTCCGTCCGTCCGTCTGTCCGTGTTACCAGGAACATGGCCTTTCTCTCCAGTTTCCATGTGGCCGTGGTAACGCCGTCCAGGAGAAATCGACACGAGCCACGTGGACGAATGCAAATTTCCTAGTAGCCACACACAAGAGAAACAGGTGAAATTAATGTTAAGAATGTACGTACTTTTAGTTAACCCAATATATCCAGAATATTATGAGCTTGACACATAATCAACACAGCAGATCACTAACGAAGTAGCTGACATTCTCTTGTGTAGATGGTAAACACAGCTCAGGCGGACTCGCCCCGTTTGGGAGCTCACAGCCACGTGTGGCTGGAGGTCCCTGAGTAGGCAGCAGGGTTCTCAGGTCCAGAACATGCTTCGAGGAGCTGGAACAGAGCTCCTGTGTTTGAACGGATGAGACTGGACTAAGATGAAGAGCTCTCAGCCCACTTTTGAGGTCATTCAATTATGAATAATCAAATAACAGCAGCTGGTTGAAAAAATTAACACGAAATATTGCCACTTAAAAACGCTTTATCAAGCAAACTAGGCCCCAGATTAGAGGCCTGTTCTGAAATTGCTTTAACGATTAGTACCTTGTATTTGCATAATGGCTTTTTCCTCCCGGTGATGCCCTCCCCGCTTTGTTCTGGGGTGCCCCTGGGAGTGTGCTGCCCCTCATGTCTCATAGCTGCCTGAGTCTTGGGTGGGCCTGGGGTTAGGTGCCTGAACTGCGAGAGTCCCCGTGCTCAGGGCTGGGAGGGGGATATGCACACAGAAGCATGACATGGGAGCCCAGAGTGGGACTGGGTGAATGCCAGCTCAGAAACTGGGGAAGGCTTCTCAGAAGAGGTGACAGCTGGGTCTCGGAGCCCAAGCAGAAGAGCAGGGTTGGCACCCCAGTAGAAGGAGCAGCCTTGCAAAGGCCCAGTGCCCCCAAGAATGGGAGATAGGAAGTGGGGTAAGGCAAGCGAGCGAGGCAGGACCACCTGCTCAGGGCCCAGGGCTGCCATCTCAGAGATTTAGAAGCGCCACATGGTGTGTGACACTCCGTGGGGTTTGCAAGACATCAGAATTATCGAAGTTCCCTGGGACTCAGGGGAGGACCATCCGCCAACCCCAGGAAGGCATGGCCCACGTGGAAGCGCTTTCCGCCCTCCAACTGGGGTGTATTCAGTGACGGAGGGCGCCCAGGTGCGCAGAGGCTGCTTTGAAGTCAGTCTTCGCTGGGTGGAGAGGGGACCATAACACAGACGTGTGCCAGCGTGTGAGGCCGAGTGACAGCAAAGGTGGGTCCACCTCGGCCTC